TAGATATATATATATATATATAACTAATAATAATAAATTTGATAGATTCTTATACTATATTAAAAAAATAAATCATAAAAGTTGACTTATAAAATAAGGACATTTTCCTACCTATATTATTTTAGTTATATCATATCATGAAATTTGCGGTAACACTCTTTGGAGTCTCATGTTTGTTAACATAGATCAAGTTACAATTTTTTTTAAAAATTTTATAAAAAAGTAAAATTAAAGCTTATGGAATTTAAATAATTATTATGTGGAAAAAGGAAGTTGTTGTTTAAAGAAGGGGGAAGGGAGAGAAGAAGGAGACACGTTATGATTCATTAATTACAAAGAATAAAGAGCGAGAAACACACAACTACTTTCTGCAATCTACCCTAGTTTCATTCACTTATGAAGCAATATCATTAATTGAGAGGTAGTTTCAATTTAATGTGAATGAACGAATAATTTAAGACAATACCAACAAATGTTTGGTGTGGCCTTCCTTCCTTTTTTTGTCCCTGTCGCACCTTCTGTGCGCTTTTTTTTTTTTTTTTTTTAATCTGCCAGGGCTAATTTTTTGCCACTTTTTTTTTTTAAATAAATTTTAAAATATTCTTGAAATTGACAAGTCGTATTTGTATTTAAAAATAGTATTTTACAAATACGACTTGTATTTTTTTTTAAATGAAAGTTGTGATTCAAGATCACGAATTTTATTATTATTTTTTTAACTTAACAATTACATCAGTGAGAACAAGACTTACATTTTTTTTCTTCATTTTTATGTTAAAATACTTTTTTAATGTATTTTTTTTAAGTCTTGTTTTTCTATTTGATTTTATTCTTTTTAAAAAATAAGCAAATTAGACTTTTACAACAAGACTTGTCCTATTCCAGATTTGTTTTTAATGGACATCTATTTATTTAATTGTTTTTTTTTTAAGTTACCCCTCATTGGGATAAAATAGCCCCTCCATAGTGTTTGTTGGGTACACGCAAAGGCATTTAATAATCGACTTGTGAAGAGAAACATTTTACTTTCTAGACTAGCCAATATATTATCTCCTCCCTTATACATAACACTTTTTCAATTAAATTATTAAGTTTATTATAGTTCTCATTTAACTTAATATTTGGTAGATTCATTTATTTAGACTTCAATTTGACACCAACAAAATTCAATAATATATGAGACAGAACTAGATTAATTCAATTTTTTAATTATAATATAGTAGTCAAACATTATGTAAAGTTAAATTAATAAACTAAAAACTAGAATTAAAATGAAGTTATATTTTATAGTACATATTTCAAAACAAAATATAAATATACGACATAGAATGAAGTTATTGTAATAATTCAAACTTATTCTCAAAACATACTTAATGTTTAATTCATTAAAATTAACCTTAAGTCATATTACTAGGTTAATGAGACACAACTTTTTAATAATCAATTATAATACCTTTCATTCCTCGAGCTTCAAGGAAAGGAAATTTCTGATTATCTAGAAAATCATAACCTTACTTTTGATTTTGATATTCATGAATTTGATTCTCCTTCGATACATCTGGATGAACTTCTATTCAGTGATGTTATAGGCCTTTATATGTTAAGTTGTTTCCTTTCGTAATCAACTATCTTTTCAAGGCTTATGGTGTGTTTGGATGAGGAATTTTACAAATTCAAAGAATTTTAAATCTTGGTATTTGAATTACTTTGATTTCAATTTCTATCATTCTTAAAATATTTTGTTTGGATAAGTCAATTTAAAATTTTCAAATTTTAAATTGTTGAGTTGGATATGATAATTTGATTCTACCATGGTAAAATTTTTTAAAAAAATATATTTATATGTTGAGATTTTTAAATTAAATTTTATAAAAATAAATATTAGCTAATTTTAAAATATTTAATAATTTTAAAAAAATAATATTAGATAATATTTAATAATTTTAAAAATATTTTTGAATATTCAATAATTAAAAACATGAAGAGATAAGAGATAAGATAAAATATATAAGTGAAATAAGAAGAAAAAAATATGAGAAATTTCAAATTCTTATTTTTTTGAGAGAATTTGAAATTCTACTATTTCAGAGAATTTCACAAATGCTTGAATTTCAAATTCCTTGTAAATTCTTCATCCAAACAAGGTATTTCACCTCAAAGAATTTGAAATTCATCAAATAAATGAATTACTCCATTTAAATTCTCCATCCAAACACACTATTAGGGTACTCTAATATATGCAAAAACATAAAAACAAAAGAGTGGGGTGTTGTTATTCACACTCCTTTTTCTGCTCTTTCCACCACTCGCCTATTATTTTGTATTTTTCTTAACATAAAAAATGCCCTTTATAGAAACTAGTTTCATAACAATAATTCCAAATTTTTAGGAGATACAATTTTTTTTAATAGATCAAAATTAGAATTTATTTATTATATTAAAATTAAAAACATATTTAAGTATCAAAATATTATTTTAACATAAGAGAAATCCTTAAATAAAATATATATCTCTAGGTTAATAAATGATATAGATAATAACACATTTTAAACTTGAAATATAAATATAAATATAAATATATATATATATATATATATATATATCACTAATTTCAAAGATAGCACAAAAAAAAAGTATTCTCACTCATAGCATCTTTTTTGGTTGTACAATAAGTATACCAAAATTCGAATCAATAATTAAGAATAATTAAGAATGATAAGTAAATTTGTATTTAGGATAATGCCTGAACTCGTTTCGAGTTTAACATGAAATACCTGACTTAATTGGACATAGATATAAATAATATCATATTTATTAATTTAATCGAGGTATACGGACAAGGATAAATACATACATATCTCATACATATCTATCTCATATTTGGGCTCATATTCGCTTTTAAATTTATAAATATATTTTTTTAAATATTTACTTAAAATTTATAAAAAAAACAAAAATTTTATATCCATTAAGTATGAGAACAAGAATATGTATAGGAGACAATAATGAAGACAAATATAAAGAAATCCATATCTTTCCCATCCTATACCATTCCTACCTATAATCTTATGTATAATATTTAACATTTAATTTTAATTATTCCACCCATAATATGTATTTCAAGGTTACATAAAAGAATTTCAAACAAGCATGGTTCTCATGCCCATATTTTTGCATGAACCTCCAATCCCTAACACAAAGTTTAGACACAAAGATAGCCTTTTTATTAATAGTATAGGCTTGATATATATATATATATATATATATATATATATATATGTATGTATACTTGTTTGTCTAAAAGTTTTATATTTATATTTGTATTTATGTATGAA